TAAAATATTAATGTAAAGAAGAACATCAGGAGAGCCCTGCTTCAGCTCCCTGCTGAGCAGGGAGTCTGCTTGCCTCTCCCTCTGTCCCTCCCCCTGCTCATGCTCTCTCTCTCTCAAATAAATAAAAAAATAAAAACCTAAAAAAAGAAGAAGAAGAACAACAACAACAACAACAACATCAGGAGCAGTGATTAGCAAAGTGGGAATCAAAGCCTTATAGGAATTCAAATGTTCCTTACCTGTCCCCCTCATTCCAAGCCTCCCTTCTACCCACTGAAAACACAGTCAACCAGGCAAAGGCATTAAATCCAAGTTCAAATGGAGACATTTACCCTGAGACGCTCCATGGTGCACCATGGTGAGGCTCCAAATGGTCAATGGAAAAAAGACTGTCTCCCTTTCAGATTCCTATCCCCTAGGCCTGGGAAAAGGTTGGAAACTTCCTGGCGCCAAGTAGGGGTCTAACAGGCAAACACCCCAAAACAATCACAGCAGCTAACATTTATGGAGTCCTTACAATGGGCTATCTGATTTAAGCCTCATGAAAACCCTTTGAGGTGAGTGCTATAATTATCCCCATTTTACAGATGGGGAAACTGAGACTCAGAAGAAACTGCAAAAGATCACACAGGCAAGCTGGCCTGGACTCAAACCTTATACCTGGATTGCAATAGGAACCATCCATTTTTTGCTATTCATCCACTTAATTTTTAGCTTAGAAATCAGGTCTTAAAGCTCCAGGAAGTCACTTTAGAATTTCACTTGAATTTCCCTAGGAGTTTTTTTGTTTGTTTGTTTTAGTTTTATAGAGTAAACCACACGCTCGGTTATTTTTTAAAAATAACCAAATTAATACACTGCTACATTTTTAAAAGAGAATATTGTGCCATATTACAGTTGAACATAAATACCCACTTTTCTCAGATTTAAACTTCTTATACGCATGTCTCTGCTTACCTGAATGAAGTTTTACTGATATACATCAGGCCCTGAAAACAGGGCCTGGCACACAGTAAGTCTTCAAAAAATAATTAAGTAATCAATATCCTTTGAATTGGGGATCAGAATCATTCTTTCTTAAAAACAGAGTACATCTGTAAGCACTACTTACATTTTTTCCCCTCTCCTCACCTCTTCTTTTAAAATTGTCAATGGGTAATTTTTTTTTAAATTACCATTCAATAAAATTGACCTTTTTCTGGTGTATAGTTCCATGAATTTTAACTTAAGTTTTATTGTTGTAATTAATATTACTCAGCGGTTGATCTGTTTTCTCCAGCTGCTGTGTTTCTCTAGATGTGGTACGTAGATGTGGTACGTAGATGTGGTACGTAGGCAGCATTAAGTTCTCCAAAGATGTCCACGTCCCAATCCTCGGAACCCACGAATATGTTAGCTCACATAGCTTTTGCAGATGTGGTTATGGATCTGGCAATTGGGGAAATATCTCGGACTATCCAGGTGGACCCAATATAGTCACAGGGGATCCTTAGAAGACAGGAGAGAGGCAGGAGGATCAGAGTTTGGAGGCAGAGACTGGAGTGTTGTGGCTAACAAATGAGCCAAGGAATGTGGGCAGGCTCTGGAAAAGGCAAGGAAAGGATTCTCCACTGGAGCCTCCAGGAGGGATGCAGCCCTGCCAACCCAGTTTCCATTTCTGACCTTGAGAACAGTGAGATAGTAAACTGGTGCTGTTTTAAGCCACCAAATTTATGGTAATATTTTTATAGCAGCGATAGGAAATGAATACACTGGGTTTGTTTTCTGATTGTTTTGGAAGTTGCTATTCTGATTCGCCCGCCCAGCATTCTTCTCTGGCTTCTGAGTACCTCAGGTGGGCAGTTATTTTTCTCTTTGTCTCCATGGGATTTGTGTGGTCGGGGGACACTTCTCAGCTGGAGGAATCCCACAGGCAGTAGAAAGGTAGAGGGTTTCGAGGGGGGTCTTGGGCCCTGTGAGCCTATGGCTCGTAGGTAAGATATAACCACCCCACCCTTAAGGCCAGAGAGGCTCCAGCCCACCCATTCTCTCCAATGCACTTTTTTTTTTTAAGATGTTATTTATTTATTGAAGATTTAATTTGTTTATTTGTCAGAGAGAGTGAGAGCACAAGAATGGGGAGCGGCAGGCAGAGGGAGAAGCAGGCTCCCCACTGAGCAAGGAGCCCGATGCGGGACTCGATCCCAGGGTCCTGGCATCCTGACCTGAGCTGAAGGGAGACAACCAACTAAGCCACCCAGGAGTCTCTTCAAATGCACTCTTGAGGTTGATGCTGAAACCCCGGAAAGTCTACATAGACCCAAACTCCAAGTCTTCCCAGATTTTCCACTCCTAGGACCTTGTCCCAGGGCTCCAGGGGGCTCCTCAGTGGTGACCCAACACACTGGCAAGGGGGGGGCACCTCTGGGTCTCCAGTTCTCTCAACAGAGCCCAAGGCCTGATGCACATCCTGTGGGCCCTAAGTCCCAGCAGCCATGGGGCTCCATGCTATTCAGGCTGCCATGTTCCCAGAATCTGCCTGACATACATAATCTCACTCAGTCCCCCCGGTAGCCTTAAGGGATTATGCACTATTATGGTCTCCATTTTCCAGATGAGGAAACCGAGGCCCCAGGAAGTTTAGTGCCCTGTTTGAGACCCTGCACCTCTAGCTCCTCAGCCAGAACTCTCCCCCCGTCACCCCTCCCAAAGATCCAGTTGAAAAAAAATATATGTCCTCAGGGGGACTAGCTGTATGGGTGCCCTTCAGAGGCACACTTATACACCCACCTGCCTCTGGAGGGCCTGAGCCTGTCCGAGGCCCTGAACCAGGGGCTCCCCATCCCCCAGCATGCATTCTGCACATCCACTGCAGCCGCAACAACCATGTTGCTTGGCCATTTATAGCTACTGACTGCTCACACAAGTGTTTTAACGAAAATCCATGGTGTTCCTATTAGCTAGGGAAACATTTATTCTGGTGTTGTCAGAGAATCTTGGACAGAAAAGCTCTTCTTGACTGATCTGTGCACACATGCATGGGTGTGTGAGTGTGCATGGGTGTGTGCGCCAGTGTGCACGTGAGTGTGCATGCGAATTATGTGCTCCGCGTATGCACACAAATACATGGATTTGTGCATGGATTTGTGCATGTTTGTGTGTGTGTGTGCCCACTCTGGTGTGTGTGTATACACACCTGTATGCACACAGAAAAACACACCTTTTGTTATTAAAGATTCTGTCAGAAGATGCTCCTGGGTAATTGTGACCCGCATGTGACTGGAAAGAGGAGAAAAGTTTACATCTTTTTTCGTCACAGCAATAAATGGTTCCTGGGTTTGCGCCCTCAAAACTGAATTTTGTTTTCACCTGAGAGGGGAGGTGAGTGATGCCTCTCTGGGCCTCATCTCCTTTCACCCTGCCCAGAGCCTCATAAGGAAGGTCTTTTTTCATTCCCACTTTATGTGCTGAGAGAGGTGAAGTCACTTGCCTGAGGTCACACAGAGCTCAGGTTCAAATGCAATTTCATCTGACTTCCCAGCCTGAGGGCTAAATCACTCCCTCCTGCCTCAAACCTTCTCAGGTCAAATGGAGACATTCTAACAACCCCCACTCAGTCCAGGAGGGCAGAGTCTGCCTTATTCCTTTATTAACTAGTTTGTTCATTCCTGAGAGCCAAGAATCTTGTCGGTTTCCTCCCAGCAACACCCATGGAAGGTTCTAGAACATCAGAGCAACTGAGAACATATTTGTGGATTGATTTGCTTGATAGGATCTCCTTCCACGGTCGTGCTTGCTGGCCTTGCTCCCCAAATCAGTATGTCCCGGGGCACTGGCAGCGCTCCCCGGGACTGGTTAGACAAAGGGTCTCCTACTCTGAAGTCCCCTATAGATCCCCCTTGCATCTGGTGTAAAATCCCAAGGCTGTGATCTGCCCCACCTGCCTTTCTGGCTTCACCTTGTTCCCCAGACCCCCTCACTCACTCAGCTCCAGCCACACAGGTCCTTCTGCTCCTCAAAGAAGCCAATTCACCCTCTGAGGCTTTTGCTGTCCCCGCTGCTAGGAGCATTCTCTCCCAGTCTCTGCCCAGAGAGGACCCCCGAGCCCACGGGAGGTTGTCCCCGCCCGTGACTTCCACACCTCTCTATCTCTCTATCTCATTCCTATGGAAGATGTGTTACTACCTGAAAGTATCTGGGTTATGCATGTCTTTATCTTTGTCCATCTACTCCTTACTAAGAGTGTCATGACAGGGAATTTGTCACCTGCCAGCCCTCTCCCCCACACTAGCACAGCGCCTGGCACACAGTGGGGGGGGGGATGAATGCTGGTGACACAGAGGATAAGGTGGTCTCTACCCCAGAGGATGTCTGGAAAATTAACTATGAGCGTGAGACACGTGTACATGGTGCCTGGCACGTAGCAAGTGCTCAGTAAGTGAAAGATGTTATTTCTTCAATCAACAAGTATTCATTGAGCAGGTGCTGTACACCCGTCACGAGCTAGGAGCCAGGGAGAGAGTAGTGAGGAAAACTGAAAAGGACCCTGCTTTCCCTGAGCTGACTGTTCACTGACACTGAACAAAACAAAGAAGTGAATTACACAGTATGTCAGGAAGTGATAAGTGCTCTGCAGAAAGACAAAGCAGAGAAGGGGTTCTGGACGGCGGAGGGTGAGTGGCTATTTTAAACAGGGTGGTGGGGAGGTCTCACTGAGGAGGTGATATCTGAGCAAAGATCTGAGGGAGGTGAGGGATGGAGCCTCGAAGATGTCTGATGGAAAAACACTCCAGGCAGCGGGAAGTGCAGGTGCAAAGGCCCTGGGGTGGGACCCTGCTCACATTAGAGAATTTTAACAGTCTCCTCTCTGCCGTTTTCTTTCTCAAAATTGACAAGTGCAAGTGCCTCCCACCCAAGGGCTGCCAAAAGCGTGCAGCATCTCTCCCTGTGACCCAGCCGCCTGTCTCTTTAACCTTGAATGCCTTTTTGGGTCTCATGTGTCACCGGGTGGCGAGTGAGCTCCCCTTACTTCAGAAGAACGGCATGGGGTTGGGGGGGCCTTAGGTGGTGTCCGCCTCACCTATTACTGCCAAAAGTGGTCATGGGGTTATTTTTAAACATGGGGAGGAAGTATTTATTGTTTCCCAGCCGAGGAGAGCTGGGCAGCCTGAGGGATTCTTCTGGGGAAGCAGTGTTGTGTCCTTTCCACCATGGTGAGTAGCAAGGGCTCTGAGAGGTGTGATGCTGCAGGGGTTGGGGGTTGGGGGGGAACTGCACCTGTGAGCAGAGGACCAGAGGGGGAGGGGGAGAAAGGTGGCTTTTGAGGGCCCCAGACCCTGGTGAAAAAAGCAGTGCTTGCTGTGTGCGCACAGAGGAACCCCAATCAATGCCCCGATAAGCCACAAATAACGGCAGCTCCCAATAACAGCAGCTCCCAGGGACTCACAAAAACAAAATAAGAGAGTTGGCTTTTTTATGGCTTGTCTACTGACCTCTCGAGGAATCAATAACTCCCAGGGCTTGCAAAATGGGATTGAACGCTTTTAAGGATCAAATTGTAATTCTTTTCTCTTGTTCAGGCAGCTGGGGAAAAGAATCTTTTTATTTTCACCTTTTGAACTTGCAAATTTAAAACATTTCTCCCTGTGTTGTTTGGTTAGGTGTCCCCCTCCCAAAGCAGGAAGCCACCAAATCAGAGCCAGCCTGGGGGAATGGTTAGGGGCACAGACTCTGGAGGCAGACTGCCCCAAGTGCAACTCCGGTTCTGCCTTTCTGTGACTGTGTGACCTTGGGCAAGCAACCCAACCTCTCTGAGCCCAGGCTGACTCTCCAGTAAAATGGCTATGGTAGTAATAGCATCTACTTGTGGGGCGCCTGGGTGGCTCAGTCAGTGAAGCGTTTGCCTTCGGCTCAGGTCATGATCTCGGGGTCCTGGGATCGAGTCCTGCATCAGGCTCCCTGCTCAGTGGGGAGTCTGCTGCTCTCTCTCCTCCCCTCTCATGCTCTATCTCAGTCTCTCTCTCAAATAAATAAATAAATAAATAAAATCTTTACCAAAAAATAGCATCTACTTGCCTGGGGGTTAAATGAAATCCTGTATATACAGCGTTCAAGCATTTGCTCTATTTCTGGTGGGGTGGGGTGGGGACACAGGTTAACTTGCTTTTCTCTGCACTGTCTGCCATATGCAAGGACAGAAAATTCGGAGAGATTTCACTGCCATCTGGATCAAAGGAGAATTGTGGGGGGAGCAGTGGGTTTTAACACCCTGAAAAAGTGTCATTTCGTAAGGGTATTCCTCATGGTTTAGAGAGCCTGACAGTGTCCCCCCTCCAATCAATTCTCCTTCTGTGCATTACTGAAATTTTATGAAATGTCCTGAAACAAAGGCGGCTGGATCCTGCTGGGGCTGATCTGAAAGTGTTGCCTCCTTCCCCAGAGATGCATCTCCACCTCCCCTAGTTTGCAAAGGAGGTGCTGCAGGACCCACGATCTCTGACCATCCACCAGAACCAGCGTGCTTTTGAGACACGTGATTCCGTTTTCCTCCGATCCCTCCCGTATCACCGTTTTGAGAGCAGTGTGGGCCTCATACTCCCATTTCACAGATGAGCAGCTGAGGCTCACTCAGAAATGGACAACCTCACCTAGTTCTCTAGCTCCCAGCTTCTGACTCTTTTCATTGATGCTCCCCCCCCCCACCCTCTCCAGGCACCGAAGAAAGCCAAGAAGAGATCAGGAGGCGCCAATTCCAACGTGTTCTCTATGTTTGAACAGACCCAGATCCAGGAATTTAAGGAGGTGGGTGCAGCTGTTGAACCATCCGCCCAGATGGAAAGTCCCACCTGTTAGAGAGAGTGCTCCCTCGGTCCATGTTCCCTGCAGGGACCTCTGGGCTAGAAGTTTTTATCCTCCAAACAATCCCAGATCCAGTCTCAAGATGTGGGTGAACCGCTTAAAGAAATTATTTTTAATATTTTTTGCCGATCATCAAAGTAAAGTACGTTTCTTGTTGAAAATGTTGGGGGCTGGAATTCAGAAAAGCACAAAGAAGAACATAAAAACGACCTACAATTCTACCACCCAGAGATAATCAGTTAACATTCTGATATCCATCCTTCAAGTCGTTTTTGTATTACGCCTATATACTTTTAAACTATTTTTAAACTATTTTGCTATTTTTCTTTGAGCAATTCCTCAGCAACATTTTCTATCATTTATTGAAACCACTCCTTATGGTTGGAAGTGATCTTTGTTTAGACTGTTCTACAATTATGAATAACACATCTTTGTTTATTTCCTTGGGGTAAATTCCTAAAAGCAGAACAGCTGGGTCAAAGGCATTTTTAAAAAGGAACTAAAAGCCAGGACTGCTGGCCCTCCAGAAATGCTGTACTAATCCCTACCCCCATCAGCCTCAAAAGGAAAAATTGCCTTTTCCCCCTGTATCTCCAAACATTGGGTATTAATAGCCTAAAATATTATTTCTGCCAAACTGAGAGACGAAAAAGAGTATCTCTTGGATTTTAAATTATATAGTCCCCCATTGTTGAACACTAGCCAGGTGGAAACCCCATCGCATTCTATGGGAGTGCGCCTTATTAAGTAAACCTAAGTACCAATTAGGCCAAATTAAGCCACTGCCCGCAGGCTTAGAAGGATAGACTCTAAATTAATTTTCCAGCAGTCGTGATGGCTCACACTGAGTCATCCACACTCCCACCTGGGCCTTTAGAGGAAAATATGCTGCAAAGGCCCGTGTGTTCTGTATCAAAGAGGAAACCATTTGGGGCTTCCAAGTGGGACATGAACACTTGCACTTTTTTGTCCTCACTAAAGTTTAGATCACAGGAATGTTATGTCCCATAGGCCCCCAGGGAAAGAATTCCAAGGACGAAATATTCGTATCTGAACTTGAAATTATCACCTTGCAGGGAGAAGACGCTGATGCCCCTTCCCCCTCACCCTGTCCCAATCTCTGGAATGAGATCAGCTGCTGGGGGGCGTGGGGGGGGTGCAAATACTTTCAGGAACCAGCTGCAAAGAACTAAAAAAAAAAACATGGAGATGATAAGTCATTTGTAAAATGACCAGGGCATTTACAAGGCTCTTGGGAGCCTTCATGGGAGCTACCTGGGAAACATTACCAGCCCCATTTTATAGATAACTGGGCTTTGGTGGTGGGGTGGGGGTGGGGAATGAGACCCCAGGTATTAACTTGATTTTTTAAATAACAACTTCATAGATATGTAATTCACACAACCCTAAATTCACTTTGTTAGCTACGTGCACAATTCGGTGGTTATTTACTGAAGTCACAGAGTTGTGCAGCCATAACCACTAACTTCCAAACATTTTCCTCACCCCAGAAAGAAACCACAGAGCCATTAGCAGCCACTCTCCCCCTCCCCCAGCCTCTGGCCACCGCCCATCTATTTTCTGTCCCCACGGATTTGCCTGTTCTGGGCATTTCGTAGAAATGCATCATACAGCATGTGGCCTTTGCCCTGGCTTCTTCCACTCAGCGTCCCGAGTCAGGGCTCAGCCGTGTTGTAGCTGGTGTCAGGATCTCCTTCCTTCTTCTTGCTCAGTAGTGGTCTGTTATGTGGCTAGACCACATTTGGTGGATCCATCCATCAGTTGATGGATATGTGGCCCGTTTCCAGGTTGGGGCTATTGTAAATAAAGCTGCTATGGACGCTCAGGCACAGGTTTCCATGGGGACAGGTGTTTTCCATTCTCTTGGGTAGACGCCTAGCAGTGGAATGGTTGGATCCAATGGAACTCTATGCATAACGTTTTTGATGAATGGCCAGATGTTTCCAGTTTTTGATTCTTGATCTCATGTCCTTCAGTGCTTCCTGAATCCCAGAATCCCCTTTCCCCCAGTCCATAGCCCAATCTCTTGGGCTCCTCCACCCAACTTCTCCTGGGCTGACCAGCCAACCACCCCCTTCCACAGGCCTTCACCATCATGGACCAGAACAGGGATGGCTTCATCGACAAGAATGATTTGAGGGATACCTTTGCTGCTCTTGGTATGTGCCCCCCACCCCGCTGGCGTGCAGGAGGGTCTCCTTATCCCACTCGCCTGAGGGGCAGAAGGTGGGACCACTGAAGAGGTCAAGAGCTTGTCATTTTTCAAGAAACAGCTCAATCATGGTTGGCCTTTAAGACAAACTTCGGAAAACAGCAAAGTGTTTAGGCTTTAAGTGTCTTCACATATCTTTCATTTTTCTTTTAAAATAATTTTTTTCTGTGATTTTGAATGCAATGCCAGCTCACAATAGAAAAATTTGAAAAATTCAGAAAAGTATAAAGAAGAAAACTTAACCACTAGGTCACATCCCACTGTCACATTTCAGCCTCCAAATCTTTTCTAGATACATCTGTTTTTTTGGTGAGTTTTTTGTTGTTGTTGTGGTAGTTGTTTTAAGATTGGAATCATTCTATTTTGGATTCACCTTTTTAAATTTAACATCTCAACAGTGTGAGCACGAGTGTATGGAGCTTTTTCAAAATATGTGTCCAACCTGCCACCACTCACCCCCACTCCACTCCCATTCCCAGAACTCAGGGCTTCCAGGAACAGCTGTATAGGTTGTGCACTACACCATTTTACAGATTACTATTCATGTCTGTAGTCACCGTAGATTTTTATATTTAAAACAAATTATCTTAAGAAGGGGTGGCTTTTAAAAATTTGCACAAAGGTGCAACGTGGACTCGTGGCAGGGGCTATAGCACAGGCGTGTTGGAATCTCCAAGGTTGTGTGGGTTACAGCAGGTATAATCTGAAAAAGTTCCAGGTGATTCTGATCTGTCTCTCCCACCTCCAGCTGAGAGGGATAATTTATAATAGGAACAGGGCGCCTGGGTGGCTCAGTCGTTAGGCGTCTGCCTTCAGCTCAGGTCATGATCCCAGGGTCCTGGGATCGAGTCCCACATCGGGCTCCCTGCTCAGCGGGAGGCCTGCTTCTCCCTCTCCCACTCCCCCTGCTTGTGTTCCTGCTCTCGCTGTGTTTCTCTCTGTTAAATAAATAAATAAAATCTTTAAAAAAAATTATAATAGGAACATTTCCCATTTAAGTAAAAAGTTAAAAGGTCTGGCTCTCTATCTCGGTCAAATAAATAAATAAAATCTTTAAAAAAAATTATAATAGGAACATTTCCCATTTAAGTAAAAAGTTAAAAGGTCTGGCTCTCTATCTCGGTCAAATAAATAAATAAAATCTTTAAAAAAATTTTAAAAAAAGTTAAAAGATCTGTTTAAAATGTTCCAGGTTCTGAAGACACCACTATAAAAGTAGCTAGCCCCTCTCCCCATTGGATGTGTGGGTTGTTTCCAGCTGTCTGGCTATCATAAATAACACCGTGGAGAACATCTTTTCCCGTGAAGCTGGCCTGCCCACTCCGTCTCTGGCTGTCCCTAGACGAGATTCCCTCGAGTGGAATTACGAGGGCAAATGCCAGAGTCCTGACGGCTGTTTCCGGCCCAGCCTGGGGGGGCCCTAACTGTGTCTTTCCTGCCCTAGGGCGTGTGAACGTGAAAAATGAGGAAATTGATGAAATGCTCAAGGAAGCTCCAGGTCCAATTAATTTCACTGTGTTCCTAACAATGTTTGGGGAGAAACTTAAGGGTAAGTTCATGTGTAGGTCCATACGTGTATATTTGTGTATATTTGACTGCATCTGTGCATCTGTGTGTGTCTTTACGTGTCTTCATCTTTGGGCATGAACTAAAGCACCAGGAGGGCAGACAAAGGTTGGCAGAAGATGAAGGCAGAGTAACACTGGCGGGGGGAGAAGAAAAAAAAAAGGCAGCAGCTCCCATTGCTCCAAAGCTCACCCTGAGCCAGACCTCATGCCACGCACTTTGGATGCATTACCTCGTTTAGTATCTAGGAGGTAGGTTGTCTTCTTATCCCTGGTCTAAGGCTCAGAGATGGAAAACCACTTGTCTATGGCCACAGAGCTAGCAAATGCCGGAGTCAGGATTCGAATCCCAGTCTTTCTAAATCTAGTTCCACGTTTGAGTTTGGGTTTGCTCAGAAATGACTGGATTCGCAGCCCACTCTTTCCAATTACCAAGGTTCAGTGCTCAGAGGAAGGCAGGGCCTTTCCTCCAAGCAAAACAGCCTGGCTTTGGCCCTTCCATCTTTGGAGGGAGTTGGGCCCTGCCTCCTGGAGTACCATGGGTTCTCAGCCACCCATGGCATGTTCAACCCTGTTTTCTGTTTCAGGGGCAGACCCCGAGGAGACCATTCTCAACGCATTCAAAGTGTTTGACCCCGAAGGCAAAGGGGTGCTCAAGGCTGATTAGTGAGTGGGATGTGTGGGGGAGACATGGGGGTCCCCTGCTTCCCATACACACACCTAGTGCCAACACCTGCTGTTTTTTCTTGGCAGCGTTCGGGAGATGCTGACCACGCAGGCAGAGAGATTTTCGAAAGAGGAGGTAATGGCCCCTTGGACACACACTGCACCCCAGCTCCCGTGTTACCCCCTTTCCTAAAACACCCCTGGCGCCACACTGACCGAGTACCTGCTACTGAGCCCCCTATCTCATTTCATTCTCTCAACCACTCTATGAGGTAGGGACTAGTACTATTGTCATTTTATAGTTGGGGAAACTGAGGCCCAGGGAAGTTAGTCACTTGCCTTAAAGGACACCACCAATGCTAAACTCTGGGGCCTGGATTCAAAGCCAGGTCAGTCTGACTCCAGGTCTACTTTCCTCACAGTGCACGGATCCCTGGTTAGAGCACCAGTTTCCTGACGTAGTGAGGGTGGCTTGCAGGGTGCCACATACAGTCATGTAGGTTCCACACTGTGCAATTCTTCTGGATGCTGTACTCATAAAATAATATTGCAGAGTATCTATTTGTTGCAATTGTTTTCCAGCAGATGGCAGTAAAGTGTCCTGTTGTAATTTTATTTTTTTCTTAAAGCAGTATATATGACTTTTTCTGGCAGGTGGAAAAGGGGGCACTTTTGCTAATTCACCCAAAGTCCTGTATCAATAAGCAATAGTCCTGTCAATGTTATTAACGAAATATTTAAAAATAGCTCCTTCTCAGGCCTGATGGCATGAGGTTTCACATTTCACTAAAAATTGTATTTAGATTTCCCCCTAAAACTCAAGCACTTAAAAGAGCCTGCCTTCACCTCCTACCAGCTTGGTGACTTGGGACAAGCTCTTTAACCCCACTGTGCCTCAGTTTCCTCATCTGTAAAGTGGGGATGGTAATAAAACTTTCCTGGTAGTACGCTGTGAGGATTAAACAAGTTAATATGCATAACGTGCTGAAGCATGTGATAAGGACAATGTGTTAGCTATTATTGGCCAATAGGTATTTTAAAAAATAACTAGTCAATACTTTTTAAATGTGGAAATTGCATGTTGAAAAAAAAAATCTAGATTTCTCATTTCCCTCAAGGAGTCAGATTCTCTCAAAAAGCGTGACCTCCTAGCCCATTCAACAACATTTGGCTGCTCTGCCCAGTTGCTGCCCCTGTAGATTGGTTGTGTGTCTGCTTTTAGCCACAGGCCCCCCTGTGCTCCCTTACACAATCTGCCTAGCCCCTTTGTACACCTGCATTTGCGATCGCTGTTTTACCTGCTACTACAGGCTGGATTCCTGGGAACACCCCTGCAGGATGGCACATGGGGTCAGCACAAGGAAGCAGGGAGGCACGGAGGGAGATGTTGAACCTCAGTTCAGGCCCAAAGAGTGTCTTGGCTTCCCCGCACCTCCCAGGGAGCCCTAGAGCTAGCATACCCTTCTAAAGGTCCCAAGTTGGGCCCCACACTGATCAGTTGGCTGTGGGCTGCCCCAGGAAGGCCATGACCTTGGGGCTGTCAGCTCTCTGCAGCAGCTGAGTGACAAGGCCTTCCTGGAGGGGGACCTGAGTGTCGTGTCTCCACACCCACCACAGCCCTGCTGCCTCTGCCTCTGCACGGGGACCAAGCCCACACCCAGCGGTCCCTCTCGCTTCCCCTCCCGTCATGCTCAGTATGTGTTGCTGGTTCATTGCAGATTGAACAGATGTTCGCCGCCTTCCCCCCTGATGTGACTGGCAACTTGGACTATAAGAACCTGGTGCACATCATCACCCATGGGGAAGAGAAGGACTGAAAGGGGCTCACCACCCAACCCTGGGCTTGTCTTTGGTGGGGCGGGGTGGTCCCTGCTACTGGCCTGTTAGCTTGTGGCTGCCTCATGATCCACCTCCATCTTCTTTGCAGCCTCAGGGGCATATAGATACCATGTGGCCACACATCCTGCAGATGGAAATCCATCCAGAAGCTGTGTTCAAATAAACAGGATGTTGTGTATTTGTTCGCGGTGTTTCTCTGACAGAAGTGCCTTGAATAAGGAAGATCCTTTGCTAGTTCCCATGAAGGCAGAGTATGAGCGAGTGATGTCCCTGCTGTCATTATTATTGAATTTTAATAACTCTTTATTTGAAATAGACCTTCACAGCCACTCAGGACTATTTCTATGAAGGGCCACGACTTAGTGGAATGTTAACTAAAGGACCAAAGCCCTTTTCTTCAAAGAGCTCAAGCATCTGTAGAGCCTAGCTTCCATGACATCCTCTCCTTTGGGATGCCTTTGGAATATTTCTCCCTTAGATGTGCTTAGACAGGCCCCATGAGAAATGAAGAGGAAGAGGCCTCACATTCATTCTAAGAATATGGCTCATTCAGCAAAGAATCACATCCGTTAACTATGAGGTTAATTTCTATTTTCAGAGGTACTAGTGGTTTGTTCCGGTCACAATCTCGGGGCGGGGGGGTTTCAGGAGCCACGATGACCTCCTACAACTCTTGCTTCCTGTCTCAGCTCTTCTGTCCTAATATCTCTATCCCAGGGTGGCTCCCAGAACCCTAGTCTAGTCTCTTTGTAATGAGTGTGAGGAGGCACTGGGGTTACGGAACAAAACCTTTATTTTCTCTGGTTAAGGTACAAACGCAGCCCCATCCGCCTCAGATCGCTAACTTCTTCTTGAGCCTCAGATCATCCCCCCTCTCCGGTATGCTGTCTAAGTCCCGGCTTTGAAACTCTCTCGCAGTATAGTTGCTGAGCACCAGCTGCCGAAGGCTGCTGTGGTCCAGGGCCTGCTCCACTGTATCAAAGAAAGGACTTGTGTGAGGAGTTTGGAAGTCAAACCCAGCATGGGGTGGGCGTAGGCAGCTTCCTTTCCAGGGACAGTGCGTCTCTGCTCCGTTCATGGATGCCCAAGGTAAGGATGTCCAAGCCTGGTTTGGGGTCCCTCCACAGTGCTGGGAGTGGAGGGTGAGCATTCTTGAGGTTCAGGGAGGAAGAACATTAACAGAGATATACCGCACAGGGATGCCCAGACAATAATTTTTTTTCTCCCAGAAGAGGATGCGAAGGTGAGTTTAGTTTAATGTCAAAGAGACAGGGGTACCATGTGCAGTCGTTCAGGATGTAGACTGCCCAGACATCTGGTGGAGACAGGTGAATGAATGGGCTGAAATCCAACCCCTACTTGATTGCCAAACCATGTCCGCACAGAAAGGGCCCCTTTTCTCAATCTGTCCAGAGGGGGCGCCTCTTCGAATTCATACATGTGAGCCATAGAGACTAGTGCTAAGAGAACCCAATGATTATCAACATTCCCTTGAGCAGAAGTGAAGACATCATCTGCAAGTTCCTGACCTTGTGGGGGCAGCATTACGAGCACTGCGCCCTGCCACCCTCCTTTTAGGAACTCAAAGGGCCAAGGGAAGCTGTGCTAAGGTGGCTAACGCCAGACCCACGTTTCACTCCTGCTAAGTTTCTGTTGCCTCGACTAAATCAAACGGGGGGGGGGGTGTGCGCGCGCGCACCTGTGTGTTGGCACTCTTCCCCCAGCCCCTGACACACCTGCACACCGGAAGCGCTACTTAGGGAAGTGGGACAACTTTTTTTTAAAAAATCCAGTTTTCTCTGATTACTAAAGCTGCTCAAGATCATTGTAAAAGAAAAATTTAAACAATACAGAATGACAATAACTTAGAAATGCAAAGTTCTCTGTAAATCACCACCAGAAGTACCCACTGTAAGTCAGCCTATAAAACCCTGTTTTTATATGCATTGTCAAGATACCTTCCTCCCTCTTCCTCCTCCTCTCTCACTCTCTCTCTCATTATATACGTCTCTTTCCTTATTATACATCAGGGTTGTCAAGGGCCGTCTTGGACACTGTAGGACTTTTAACAGCATCCCTGGCCACTAGATGCCAACAGCACCCCCCCCACCTCCCAGTTGTGATAACCAAAAATATCTCCAGACATTGCCAAAAGTCCCCTAAGGGGTAAATCACCCCAGGTTGAGAATTACTGAATATATATATATATATTCTTATAATCCATATTTATTACAATTATATATATAATTGATATTCCCTATGTGTGAGAGTTTATATTGTCCCATTGCGTTCTTTTCCACGTCTGCGTAGTATTCCTATTGCACGGATGGGTGAACTGTAATTCATTTGCAACGACGTGGATGGAACTAGAGGGTATCATGTAACCAGTTTCTAATGGGTGGGCATTTCAGTCACTTCCAGTTTGGGGCTGCAGTGAACATCGTCCTACGTTCATCTTGGACCCTTGAGTAAATGTTTCTTGAAGGAGCAGTTTGCGCAGGTGAGAGTATGGGCTTAACAGGTGTATCCATGTCTCAGGCTTGCCACACCTGTGACCACACTGCCCTCCAAAACCCAGGTGGGGCCGATTTTCTCCCCACCTCCAGAGAGAAGGGCTGCTTCCCACAGTGAGGGGAGCGTCCTGAGCTTCGTCCCCAGAAAGGCGGGAAGGTCAACAGCCTGGCCCCAGGCGCCACAGTTAGACACCTGCTTCTGTCACCAGCCAAGTCACAGCTGCTTCAGCCATGAGGTTGGGGGACATGGTTGGGGCGGGCCAAGGGTGGAGTAAGACCAGGGGCATAGCGGGAGGGGGACAGATGGGATCAGGGAACCTCGTGTGCCTGCAATTTGCCAGTTTGTAAACTGTGGACATTTTAAGGTTCATTTGAAACGGTCACAAAGTAGTGCTTAAAAAATATATATATATCCAGGATCACTAAACTCCAGGATCTTCATTGCGCCCTAAGGAGAAGCATCCCCCGGGGAAACAGTCAAGGGCCACAACCACGGTGGAACCCAATGGAACACATGGGCCCACGAGGCTCATAAAGGGAAACTGAGGCTCTAGCCTGCACACTCTCGCCGGCACAGGTCTCCTAGCAACATGCGCAGGTCGCAGGAGGACGAGAACTCACCTTCATCCAACCTGTCGCCAAAGGGGTCAGCCCCAAACACTGGGGGGACGACCTTGATGGGTTCTGCAGGCTTGAGGAGGGCAGAGCCGCCCCAGAAAGGGTTGACAAATGGCGGCGGGACCTCAGTCTCTGCCCCTTCCATCTCCAGGATCCGTCTGTAGGACTCTAGCAGCAGCAGGTCATTGGTCTTCTTCTCAATGATGGCTGGAAAAAAATCGATCAGAACCAAGACGGCAGCCGAGAGACCTGGTTCGGGGTGGGGAGGCGGGGTAGGGATTTGGGGTGACGCCCCCTGCTGGAGAGGAAGGGAAGGAACATGAGGAGGCCTTTCTTGTGGGTTATCCCATGCATTCTCCAGGGGGCAGTATCATCCCGAGGGGGCAAAATTTGGTAGTTCAGAGGCAAAAACAACAACAACAACAACAACAAACCTGACTTTATAACATAAAACACATATGCATACAGAACATAAACAACTATATAGTGTATCAAGAGTGTTAAAATTGCCTGAGGACGACAATAAGGAAAAGAATGTCTAAAAAGTTTCCTTAGGAGGCAATAATGAAAAGGAGGTTGAGAAACACTGGGTTACACCAAAAACTGGGAGCCCTGGGCAGCCCCTTAAACTACTGATTTTTTCCCCTACGCACTCTCTGTCTCAGGCTTCTGGGCTTTTGCTCATGCTGTTCCTTCTGCCTAGAATGCCTTTCCCCACACCCCTCCGTGAATAATGCCTGCTGGTGTTTTCAGACTTGGATCAGGGCTCTGCCCCCTGCAGGAACATTTCTCTGACCTGCCTACTTGGGGAGACGTGCTCTTCCTCTGTGTTTCATGGGCCCCTACTGTCACCAGAGGTTTGTGTTCATTACTCACTCTACAAATGATTATCGATGCCTGCCATGCCAGGCACAGTGCTGGATGCTCCAGATGCATGGGGGAAAAACAAAACGGCGGTAACAGTAACAACGAAGACAAGATGCAGTCCCTGACCTGATGAAGCTCGTAAGTTTCAGTGTATATGAAGAAGATGGAAAGAAAGACAAATTCAACAAGGAAACAGATAAACATATCCCTTGCTATACAGATTATTATCTGGATTAGGTAACTACTGGACTTGGATACAATGTTTTAAATAAACCTTACACCACCTGTACTGTGGCTATTCTTCTGAAAATCGGGAACCAAAAATATCTGCATCTGGAACTTGCTATCAGATCTCAAAAACCTCATAGATTCAGAGAGTGAGAGCCACCTGTATATGGAGACAAACTGGGTGACTGCTGCATAAAGGGGCTGCCATGACAGGGAATAATAGTGTGTGTGGGGGGGGGAGACCAGCTACAGGTGGGGCAGCGGAGGGAAGCCTTGCTAGAGAAAGGACATTTAAACTGAGATCTGAGAATGAGGAGGAACTGGGACAAGGATTCCAGGAACAGCTTGTGCAAAGGCCCTGAGGTGGAAATGTGTTGAGGGGAGGGTTGCAAGAATACATAGGAGAGTGTGACTTGAAGTGGTAAGCAGGGACAGGGAGTAGGACGAGGGAGTTGAGAAACGGAAGCAGGGGCCAGGCTGTGCAGAACCCGATAGGCTGTGGGCAGGAAGGAGTTAACACAGCAGTCCTGACTGCTAGTCTTCTTTTTTTATTGTTATGTTAATCACCATACATTACATCATTAGTTTTGGATGTAGTGCTCCATGATTCATTGTTTGTGCGTAACACCCAGTGCTCCATTCAATACATGCCTCTTCTTTGAAAGGCCTGCTTCCCAGGTTGGCACCAGGCTGGCATCCGGGAACTTGGGTTTCAGGAAGCTTCCTATCATCGTTAACTGATAATAGCAGCTCAGTGTGCCTAAACTGTGTATACAAAACATGTTTCTGCTAAACGCCTGTTTTTTTTCCACACCCTGGACACAGTCTCTCTAATGAGCTCCTCCTGGTTGACAACATTTCACCTATATTGTCACAACTCAATGCTGGGGGAATTAAGCACATCCTGTGTGACCCCACTGGGAGAGGACCCTTGGAAGCTTGCTCCTGGCTTCCT